TTATCTCATTAATTCTTAAGAAATATCTATTAAAAAGGCAGAGGGAGAGGAATGATTTTATGCATCTTACAGAGGAGGGAACAAGTCCAGAGATGATTTATAATTCAAAGTGAGATCTTGGCATTTCAAGAGAGGAAGAATAGTGACAGGTCATGCTAATTTTCTGCAAGTTGTAGGGTGAGTTTGGGAAGCAACTGGAAAGTTTATCAGAGCGGCCACTTCCTTGACAGGTACCAGGAGGAAGAATCTCAGATGATGAAGGCAGATTCCTGGCTCCATGTCAAGGTGCTGACCTACCTTTCCCAAGAACAAATGGAACTTAGAGACCGTGTAAGTATGGGCATATTGACAGTGGAAACTCTGTTTTACAGTGCAAAAGACTATATATAAACCAGTGTAAGATGAACTACCAGATGTCTGCATGTGGCATTTAGGAAGTTGTGGAATTCTATAAATCCTGAAAAACAGGAATGCTCTAGAGATCACCATTTGCAAATAGTTTCAGCGATGGACATACTAATGTTTTAAGACTCCTCAACGACCTTGGGGATCAATGACATTCAAAATTTCTTCATAAAACTTTATCATTAGTTCATAGACTAAAAGTATTAATACATAGTTCTAGGAAATACTTAAAAGCATTTCATCACGGGGCACCTGGGTGGCTCAGTCGTTGAGCGTCTGCCTTCGGCTCGGGTCATGGGTCCTGGGATCGAGCCCCACATCAGACTCTCTGCTCCATGGGAAGCCTGCTTCTCCCTCTCCCACTCCCCCTGCTTGTGTTCCCTCTCTTGCTGTGTCTCTCTCTGTCAAATAAATAAAATCTTTAAAAAAAAAAAAATTCATCACCATGATTTCATTTTATCCTCATAACAAGCCTGTAAAGGGTTGCTATTCCCCATTTTATAGAAAAGGAATCTGTGTGGGAAAGTGAAACAACGTGCTCTGAGGTTATTAGGAACCAAAAAAAAAAAAGAAAGTAGGAGACAGTACCGAGTGTTGGTGGTGCCAACAGGAGCTGATGTTTTCAGCTCCGGTTCTCAATTCGGCGACTGCTATGTTTGTCGTCGCAGAACGGTTTGGTGTCACAAATGAGGATGGCACAGCCCCGAGTATGGAGTACAAATCTTAGTATTACAGCTAATACTTAAAATGGTTGATAGAGTCAAAGGAAAACAGCTCTCAATCTGCATAGATTGTTGGAGTTACACCCAAAGCATCCTTTTTTTCAAAGATCTAGCTTCCTCGTGAAAGAGTGACTCAAAAACAAACAAACAAACAAACAAACTTGGGATACTTTTCTAATATAGGAAATATTTTGGATTTGTACAAGTGTAGCTGTATTTTGTTGGTGATTTTACTAATGACCACTCTCATTTATAAATGTCAGCTCAGTCAACCCAGTAAAATTTATGACCATCATCCGTGCGGCAAATCCATGTTTAAATGAAGGGGAAATGAAGACACATTTGAGGCTCTTGTACATCCTCTCAAGTGTCTGTCGTTATTGGCGTCTTCCCAGTCACTGGTGTGCAAACCCGAGAAGTCACGTCATCTTTCTAGGTCTCAGTTTCTCATGTACCAAAATTCGCCGTACTGAAAATTCATGTACAGAATTCGCTGACTGGCAAGGTTCCTTCCAACTCTCAGATGATAAGATATTATGGAACAGGATCCCTGCCCAAAGAATATATGTATCTGCTTACTGATAACCACTGCCAGTGACAGGAAGTTCAAATGATACTACAGAAGATGAAATAGAAACTAGTGTCCAAGTTCAGCAGGATCTTGGCGATTCTGACAGTTACTTCTGAACTAGGAATGTAGATGGCACAGAGGAATGAAGACCAGCTCCGCTTAAGAGGTACTCACATGGAAGTCTCAGCGCTGGCTGAGCCCCTACAGCCAAGACTCGTAATGCTTGATGTTTAAATCTCCAACATACCCTCCACTCTGATCATTAGGACTGAGACCCATCTGGCCGATGTTCTTCCTGGTTGCCTTGCGTGGGAATCATTCTGCGGTTAAGCTGATAGAAGTTGGCCTCTGATGCTGTAAACTCCCCCAGCTGCTCAAAACCTCTGCAATTTACTTTCACTTTCATTTTAAGAGCAACAACAACAAAAATCTGGCTCTCGGAAGAGACATCCATCTCAAAGTGTGAAATCTGACTATGGGCGTGGAGGGAAAGCTCATAAGGGACAGGGTTAGAGTTTTCTGGCATTGACTCAGCTCGTTTTTTTCTGTAAAACTTAAAATCTCAGCTCTCACATAGGCCACAGGCTCACTGAAAACTCCAACCAGTCGCGAGAGGGTAAAGCCCAGTCGATCCACAGGTTTGCCTCCACTTGAAGAGAGATGTGGAGACAACACATATTCGTGGGTTCTACGGGGCGACAGCAATCTCGCTGCTCAGAAAGATTGAAGAGTTCAAATGAAGCATATTTTTCCCCTCAGACGGGGGAACAGAATAAACATATCAAGCACTAACTGCCTTAGTGGAAATCCTCTGTTGCACAGGCAAACAATTATGAGATAAGAAATAAGAATAAACAACCAAATGCTTTGATGTTTTAAAAACAAATTCTTTGATGTTTTAAAAATACTCATTTGCCAAAACAGAAGTAATTTGTTTTATGAGTAAACAACATGTTACCAAGCATCCAGAGGGAGAAAAAAAAAAAGAATGGGGTAATACCAATCTGAGAAGAGAGGACAAAAGTTTAATGTGATATTGCGTAAGAAAACATTCAGTGGAGTTCCTGGTTAGCCAGAAGTGGCTTCCTGGAAGAGGTAAATTGAGGCTAGCTGTGGAATACAGAAATTATTCTTGTGTTTTTCAGACAGGAAAGGAGTCTTCTGTGTCTATAGATGGCATTTAATAAGCCAGCTAGCCCTTAAAGCACACTTCTGTCTCGTATGAACCTCACACTGCATGGGAATATATAGCCGTTGAAAACTTCAAATTGTTTCATGCAATATGTCCTCTTAAGAGATTTGGTCTGGGCGTACCTGGGTGGCTCAGTGGGTTAAGCGTCTGCCTTCAGCTGAGGCTGTGGTCCCAGGGTCCTGGGATCGAGCCCCGCATCGGGCTCCCTGCTCGGCGGGAAGCCTGCTTCTCCCTCTCCCACTCCCCCTGCTTGTGTTCCCTCTCTCGCTGTGTCTCTCTCTGTCAAATAAATAAAAAAACTCTTAAAAAAAAAAAGAGATTTGGTCTGATATTTGATTATTTTTGGTGTCACATTTTTCTCATGAAAACATAATTCCCATGTGCTTGAGTGGTAAAAAAAAAAGAAAAAACTTTGATGATGATTTTCATTCATAATTCAAGTCAGTGGGAGAACCTGATTCGATTAACAGAAAACTGCATTCAGGCTTTTGTCATTTTTGCCCCTCTAAGGCACAGCTGATTTCATAATCATAATGTTCCTTGAGATAAGAATCAATGCATGAAGCCCGCTAAATAATTTAAGAATAAAGGGTTGATGATAATATTCAGTATAACACTTCTCAAAATACTTCCTTCACACCCTCTTAGATTCAATTTCACAGCATCCTGGTGGGTCAGGTAGACTCAGATTTTTATAGAAAAGGAAGAAATATGGCCTAGACAATACAGATGAGCAGCCCAAGCTCACACAGCAAATCAAGAGCAGAACCATAGATGCATTATACTTTTTCCTCAGCACCATCTATGCTATTATCAAAATGCTAATGCTGAGAATTTGCAGCAGTAACGTCAACACTAACAAAATGAGAGTAGCCATCCTTTGTTGAGAGCTGACGGCTTCAGACACTGTGCTAAGCATGGTATATCAATTACCTCATTTAATAACTACTTAGAATAATAATATGAGTAGTCATCGTCTCAGGTTACAGTGAGGGGATGGAAGCAAAGAGAGGAAGAACTTTGACCTAGGTCACGCAGCCTGTGCATGGCTCAGCTGCCATTCAACTTCACATCTGCCCGAAAGCTTGGGGAATCTTGAACTTGCTCTCTGATGTATGGCTGGCAGCCTCTGACTTCAAGTCCTCAAGTCTTTGCTCAGAAGTCAACTTCTCCATGAGGACTACTCTGAACATTCCACTTAAAACTGCAGCCCTGGGGCGCCTGGGTGGCTCAGTCAGTTAAGCATCTGCCTTTAGCACGGATCATGATCCCGAGGTCCTGGGATCGAGCCCCACATCGGGCTCCCGGCTCAGCGGGAAGCCTGCTTCTCCCTCTCCCACTCCCCCTACTTGTGTTTCCTCTCTCGCTGTCTCTCTCTTTGTCAAATAAATAAATAAAATCTTTAAAAACAAAACAAAACAAAAAAACCCTGCAGCCCTGCCCTCACCCTGCCAAAATCCATCTTCCTTACCTTGCTTTTTCGAGTGGTTTAATGTTTTGTTTCTAACGCTGATTTTTAACATAAGTACCACAGGGCAAAGGTCTTTGGGGTTTCCTCACCAACATATCCCAGATGTCAGACTGTGCTACCCAATAAAACTTTTATAAAGACATTTTTTTTTTTAATCTGTGCTATATGGTAGCCACTAGCCACAAAAACAAAACTGAAAGTGGCGAATGCCATTGAAGGACTGAATTTTTAATTTATCTAATTTATCTAATTGTATTACTTAAACAGCCACAAGGGCCTAAAACAAAACCTAGCATAAATATACTCCCAATAAATGTTTGTTAAACGAATGCATTTATAAATAAGTTAATGAGTAAGACATATTTTCCATATAATTACTTTCACTAATTACAAGTTAAATTTTATATTTTTTTCAATAGAATTATTAGCTGAAAAAAGTCCAGATCAAATTAAGAAGATAGTTTGAAAATTCAGATATGACTGAAAGCACAAGTACAGATTTCTCAAACTACTGACTCCCTTTTGTCGTCAGTGACTTAAAACCTTCCAAAACATTTTTGGAAAACAGCAAACCAGCAGCACATAATGAATTCCCATGTATGACAAAAAAATACAATGATTACTATAGTCATTCAGTACCTTTTTGACCTTGTTCTTTTTCTCATAGGTCTCTGACAGAGGTTTTTTCTTCTGCTGAGTTGTGTCTTTGGAGAATAAATACTCAAATTCACTAGTATCCCGAATATCAGGTTCTTCTAAGGAATCCCATAAGGTTGGTGTAGCATTTTGGCTTAAAAGAGAAAATGATAAGTTAAACATTAAAATCAAAACAGAAAAGAACAGAATATAATGAAATCTCTAATTCACTTTATAACTCATTTAAGATTATATATATATTTTTTTAATTTAATTTTATTATGTTATGTTAATCACCATACATTACATCATTAGTTTTTGATGTAGTGTTCCATGATTCATTGGTTGCGTATAACACCCAGTGCTCCATTCAATACATGCCCTCTTTAATACCCATCACCAGGCTGACCCATCCCCCCACCCCCATCCCCTCTAGAACCCTCAGTTTGTTTATATTTATATATGTATGTTTTTATATATCTCCTTCTAGTAAAGCTTGAAGAAGAGCTTTTCATGTTACACCTTTTTTTTTTAAAGTCAAAATATACTATAGAACATCAAAGCTAACAACCATTTCCAAAACCGAATGATCATTAGATACAATCAAAGAAAGAAAGAGAGATTTAGAGAAACCAAGTGGGGCCAGAAATCCTGCGATTCACATGATTGATGCCATATAAGCTGTTCCTCCCTCAGTCTATGGTGTTTCCATCATGGGTAAAAATGGGCATCATATAAATGCTGAAAAGATAACCAATTCTGAGATATTGATGGGATAATTCTTAATAAAAATTCTTAAAAAGAAAAAAATTCTTCACCTTCTACTAAGGTAAAGATTTACCCTCTCTTTGGGCTTTTTCTAATACTTTTAAAAATGGTTTTTAGGATTAGCTCATGTCAACTCAGGGCAAGATCCCTAATTTGTGAACAGACTGAGCTCATTTAGAAATACTTGATTTAGAACACTCCGCCCCAACAACAGTATTTAACAATGAAAACAAACCAAAAAACTTCATTGCACCAGCCCCTGCAGAGATTTCAACTAAAGCAGCCATGGGGAGGCTGTACTTTTTGTTTCTAGGGTTTTTTTTTTTTATCTTCAAAAAACAGGGGCACTAGTTTTGAAACAAAGAGAAGAAGATATGGAAAATCAGGTATAAAAGAACTGCCTCTGAGACCAAAACTTGGAAGGGTTACCATCCAGGCTTCCTTTAGTCAGAACACATTTTCCCCCAAGTGTCTACTGTCTTAAATTATTTTTAAACACTCTTAATACCCATAGACAGAAAAAAATAATGTTTCATCTACACATTTATTGTTTTTCAAATATATGTCTATATTATGATCCATAATATCTGTAAGTACCTACCTTTGTTTTAATATGTATTTTTTTCCATCACTGAAAACTAAAAGAACTATTATTATATGGGGTAGTCCACAAAATGTTTTGATGCTAAAAGGCGATTTTCATATTCAAAACAGATGGGAAGACTGACTTCTCGGATCTGTGTGTTCACATTTTGCCACATGTCTGCCTTTCCCATGAAATATGAACATTTTGGTCTGTTCAGATTCACTTCTCTCCACTTTTTTATAATATTTGAGCCATTTAAGAGTATATGTGTGACATCTATAACGTTTAAGAGTATAATGAATACCTGTGAAATCATCACCCAAGATCTAGGACACTTCCAACGAAGTACATCCATCCCTGTGCTCCTGCCTCAGCCGCCCACCTCTGCCACTCACTTAACTTCCATTTGAAACACAAACACTGTTAAGTGCTAATCTCAGCTGCACTTGGGAAGGGGGATCTTGATGGCAGAAGAGAGCCAGGGAATTTTGGAGCATGCAGTCTGTCAAGGGCTGCTGGTCTGGGCCTCATGAAGGTTCTGGGAAGCCGAGGAGAGGGTGTGTAGAGGGAGGTGGTGTGATGCACAGGGGGATTGTTCAGCCCATCCATCCCCCACCTCCCCAACCCCCATCCCTTCAGCTGTACTGCTTGGCCCCAGCTCCAAGGATGAGCTCAGGCTAGTATAAGTAGGCTGCAACTCACTCCTATTCTAGAGTAAATTGGCTTTGATAGGTTGAACACTTCATGACCATTTACTACATTGTTTCTATGGGAAAAGGCATTTCCAATAGTAAATAAAAGAATTTTGGAATACTACCTCTCAGCGAGTTGGGGACAGCAGGCATTTGGTTGGGCAGTAACAAGAACTCGCTCACAATAGACCATCTCCTCTGTTATAATGGTCACTTCCTCTCTGACCACTGAACATACAAATCTAGCTCACAAGAAGAAGAAGAGGAGGTAGGAGGAGGAGGAAAGAGAGACTGGAGAGGGGAGAAATGGTAGAGGGAGGAGGGAGGAGAGGAGGAAGGAGGAGAAGATACTCACTAGGAAAACATATTTATTAGGAAGCCAAAAAAAGTAGACAGATTAGGATTTCTTTTTCTTTAACTAAATGTCTCTTCCCTATTCTAGAAGCCAGAAAACAGACACTGAAGAATGCAAAATGGCAAAAGTTAAAAATCAGTTCATGTTAGTAACAAAAACAATCAGGTGGGTGAGAGGCAGTACATATATAATGGAGAAAATTCATATTTTACTGCTAGATCCCCAGAAGACCAAGACCAAGATTTACCATGGGTACATTATACACAGTGCTTACCCTCCTGGTTGTACAAAATACTAAAATACCATTTCCTCTCTTTTTAAAAAACACACCCTAAATAATTTTAGTTTTGTACATAAATAAATACTACACGGAAAATCTACAGCCTTTTAGTTTAAAAGAAGTACTCATGCTCTGAGGGTACAAAACCATTCTGAGGGACCCATGATAAGAGAGACTAAATGTGTGGAGCAGCGGGAAGCAGCCATATTGCAGTCTTCATGCCAGAAACTCAGTACATTCATCTACTTTTCATTTTGCTTAAAACTGAAGCCCTAAACTTATAGTGAAACTAGTAAGAGCTTGAGTATGTAATTGTTTTCGTTCTCAAAATGGCCAACTACATAAGGAGCGAAAAACATAACGATTATCTCCAGCTTGACCTTGTCCCACCTTGAACAGTGGGCAAAGGGCCCATATCTCCCAGCAGTACCGTTATACCACTGCTATGGTCTAGGATATTGGTTGCTTATGGAGTCTTGAGGGGAATAGAGTGGAGGCAGGCTAGTGAGACACAGGTGTGGAACAGTTCCATGTGCTGTCAGAACACACTATCCCAGGGCTGACAGGTGGGATTCATCACTCTGGAATGTCTGTACATTAATTTTTGAGAACACTAATAAGGGAGCACAGCTCCATATAAATATTCTGGGAAACTATTTCTTAGGAAATGTCATCTGAGTCTTGAATGGGACAAAAAGGAATATTAGTACTGCAACTAATCGTTAGGAGCTATTTCGGGATCTTCTCTCTCTCTCTCTCTCTTTAACCATTCATTTGGGAAATAATAAAGTATCAGCATTTTAAAAAAGCATCAAGATTTCCACACATAAACTCTTGGTCCTTATTTTTTTTTGGTTAGAGGAAAGGGGCCAATATGAAGCACATAATCAACTTAGTTCACCATATGCATAGCTTGAAGGTAATACCCACTCCTCCTATAGTGATTTCCAGTTGCTTTATAATTGTGAATTTCATGTTATTTTGTTTAATATCCTGCCTTCCACATACAAAATGTTATATAAATTGAAAGATTCACCACCACATAATGATTTGGGGAATAAGTTCAAAAATTTATGTTTAAAAATGTGTTCTCTATTTGCTGTCCTTTGCAAACAAATGAACTTCAAATCTAGAGATTGTCAACATCTCTCTCATTGTCCTCTTGACAGACTCTGAAATGAGGCAGAAGAAATTAAATTCAAATATGTTTGAATGGAAGTTTCTAACCAACCTATCTTGCTGCCATACAGACCCAGCTTAACAAGCTATACACATGTTAGATGTACTCTACTGGCACTTTCTCTGAGCAACAAGGTATAAGATGTGAGGGCATTTAACAGTTAGGGGAATGAGAGTTCAAGCAGAGATTTTCTGTTTTTTGACTCCCTTCTGACCCAAAGAGCTAATGACTCAGCTATGTCTGGCTCTTCTAATAAAACCTGAAAAATTACACATACCTGTTAAGTATCCAGATCATAAGGTTGATGATCCCATCGAAAGACAAGACAGATATTCTAAAAATCTTCAGTGAACCTAAGTATAGGTTCAGGCTCTATGTCCGTATGATTACTTGCTAGCTGTAGGGATGTTGGAGAAGGCTCCAACTTAGACCAGGGCTCTTCTCTAAGAAGAGTCTGTAAAATGGAACCTTTATCTTAGAGAAGGATCTGACATTGCACACACTGTTCTCCCAGCATCAGTCTATAGCAAATACAGACAAGACCTGGTAGAGACAGACATTCTCCCTCTAAACACTTCAACATTGTTTATCCAAAGTACTCACTATACTGCATCTGAGAAATGAATGTCACAGTACGCAGATATCCAACTGGGAAGAATAAAATGTCACTTGTGCAAAATCCTGGGAATTCACAACCTGAGAATGGGCCAGAGGAGTTGGGCTTACCTTTTATCACTTATTTGTATTCTAGTCCAGTATAAAGGCTTCATGGGGCAACTCGGCTCAACGGCTGGCTTCCGAGGACATTGGCTAGAAGAAGGGCCACCTCCAAAGAAGAGTCCAGGAGGAGGTGGGGGTGCAAGTCCCGGAGGTGGTGGAGCAGGAGGAGGCCCCCCACTGGTGGGCAGAGCAGGAGAACTGGGAAGTGGTGGTGGAGGAGGAGGCGGAGGAGGCCCGGCACTTGGAGGCAGAGGAGGGGGCGGAGGGGGTGGCGGTCCAGCACTCACAGGTGGTGGTGGAGATACTGGTGGCAAAGGTCCAAGTCCAGGTGGGAGGGGAGGAGGAGGGGGGGGAGGGGTGGCTGCTGGCAGGGGTGGTGCAGGAGGGGGAGGCGATGCCTTTTGCTGACTTGGTGAGAGGCCTTCCACAGACTGAAGTGCTACATGGGTGTCTTTGTTGTCATTTGGGGGAGAGAGCTGACTTAGAGAGGAGATATTCAGCTTTTTGGGTATTATCTGGTTGCTTCTGATTGTCTTGCCTTCACCTTCACAGGGTTTGAGAAATGTCTCTCTGTCTGTCTGGATGCACACATTTCTGTAGGTCTTTGGGGGATAGTCATCGTCAGTGGAGATACACACATCTCTCATCTCTTCACGTCCTCCTCGCCATCGGTGTTCTGTCTCCCGTTTGAGAGTTTCAATGGTTTCTTCTAGTCTTGCCGTAACCACTGCGTGCTCGCCCCGGATATGAAATGCCTGGAGTTCAAACTGAGCCTGTAGAGATAGCAGTGGGAAAGAGAGTGAAGAATTTATTAAAAAACAAGACCAAAAACAAACAAATATCCGAAATAAAAACTTCAGTATCATCCCTGTGCCACCATAGCCCAGCCTACATCAACACAGGGAAACACAGAGACATTCTTTTGAGGATATGACAGGGTATAAATTTCACTTTAGGAATTTTTCAAAGACTTAAACCGTTGGAATAGAAGCATAATTTCATCCAATCTGACCTCATGGGGAATAATTACCATGGATTAAGGCTTACAGTAAAACTGTCCCCTAAGAACTTCCACCCCGTTTTGATATCAAAAGCAAAACAAAGTGTTCATAAAAATTTGAACATGCTTGAATGTATCTTTTATTACTTTTAATTTGGGGTTGGAAAAAGAAAACTGTAAGAAAAAAATGGAGATTCTTCTGGCTATCCTCACAGTCTCCCTTAGAATACCTCTTCTGTGGGGTTTCTGGGCCAACACAGCAGAAACAAAAGGTGTGAGAAGAAGCTATCACACGCGTATTTTCTAGAAGTTTCCATATTAAAGCTGTCCCTGATCAATATTTGGGTCTGTTTCATAATTTTTCATAATATAGTAATAAATAAGCAATACAAATACACAGAAAATGAGACTATTAAGATTTGCTATTTTTGTCTTCCACATACCCAGGATTTTAAACTGTATTTTATAAGACATTTACCTTTTTTTCTATTTCAGTGTTTTATTTAGATTCTAGTTAGTTAACATATAGTATAACATTGGTTTCAGGAGTAGAATTGACGGATTCATCACTTACATATAACACCCAGTGCTCATCACAGCAAGTGCCCTCCTTAATACCGATCACCCATTTAGCCCGTCCTCCACCCACCTCCCTCCATCAACCCTCAGTTTGTCCTCTGTAGTTAGGTAAGAGTCTCTTATGGTTTGCTTCCCTCTTTTTTGCCCTTCCCCTATGTTCATCTGTTTTGTTTCTTAAATGCCACATATCAGTGAAATCATATGGCTTTGGTCTTTCTCTGATGGACTTATTTCACTTAGCATAATATACTCTAGCTCCATCCACGTCTTTGCAAATGGAAGATTTCATTCTTTTTGATGTCTGAGTGATATTCCACTCTCTATATACCACCTCTTCTTTATCCATTCATCTGTTGATGGACATCTGGGTTCTCTCCATAATTTGGCTATTGTTGATAATGCTGCTTTTATAAACACTGGGGGGTATGTGCCCCTTCAAATCAGTATTTTTATGTCCTTTGGGTAAATATCTAGTAGTACAATTCGTGGGTCATAGGGTAGTTCTATTTTTAACTTTTTGAGGAACGTCCAAACTGTTCTCTAGAGTGGCTGCACCAGTTTGCATTCCCACCAACAGCATAAGAGGGCCCCCCTTTCTCCACATCCTTGCCAACATCTGTTGTTTCCTGTGTTAATTTGAGATACCACGGGTGTGGGATGGTATCTCATTGTGGTTTTGATTTGTATTTCCCTGATGATGAGTGATGTCAAGCCTCTTTTCATGTGTGTATCAGCCATCTGGATGTCTTCTTTGAAAAAATGTCTGTTCGGGGAGCCTGGGTGGCTCAGTCGTTAAGCGTCTGCTTTCGGCTCAGGTCATGATCCCAGCGTCCTGGGATTGAGCCCTGCATTAGGCTCCCTGCTCAGCGGGAAGCCTGCTTCTCCCTCTCCCACTCCCCCTGCTTGTGTTCCCTCTCTCGCTGTGTCTCCCTCTATCAAATAAATAAATAAAATCTTAAAAAAAAAGAAAAAAAGAAAAAATGTCTGTTCATGTCTTCTGCCCATTTCTTGATTAATTCTTTATTATTTATTTTGGGGGCATGTTAACTTTATAAGTTCTTTATATGTATATCCCTTTATGAGATATGTCATTTGCAAATATCTTCTTCCATTCCATAGGTTGTCTTTTAGTTCTGTTGATTGTTTCCTTTGCTGTGCAGAAGATTTCTATCTTGATGAAGTCCTAATAGTTCATTTTTGCTTTTGTTTCTCTTGTGTCTGGAGACATGTTTAGTGAGAAGTTGCAATGGCCAAGGTCAAAGAGGTTGCTATCTGTGTTCTCCTCTAGGATTTTGATGGAGTCCTGTCTCACATTTAGGCCTTTCATTGATTTTGAATTTATTTTTGTGTATGGTGTAAGAAAATAAGTTTTCCCAACACCATTTGTTGAAGAGACTATCTTTTTTTCCATTGGATAGTCTTTCCTGCTTTGTCAAAGATTAGTTGACCATAGAGTTGTGGGTCCATTCCTGGGTTTTCTATTCTGTTTCATTGATCTATGTGTCTGTTTTTATGCCAATACCATACTGTCCTAATGACTACAGCTTTGTAATATAGTTTGAAGTCCAGAATTGTGATGCCTCCCAGCTCTGCTTTTCAAGAGTGCTTTGGCTATTCAGGGTCTTTTGTGGTTCCATACAAATTTTAGGATTGTTTGTTCTAGCTCTGTGAAAAATGGTGGTGGTATTTTGATAGGGATTGCATTAAATGTGTAGATTACTTTGGGTAGTATAGACATTTTAACAATATATGTTCTTCCAATCCATAAGCATGGAATATTTTTCCATTTCTTTGTGTCCTCTTCAGTTTCTTTTATTAGTGTTCTATAGTTTTCACAGTATAGATCTTTTAGCTCTTTGGTTAGGTTTATTCCTAAGTATCTTACAGTTTTTGGTGCACTTGTAAATGGGAAGGACGTTTACCTTTTTAACACTTATCTTTTCTGTTATTTCAATGCCTCGAATCTATGGTTTTACACTTATTAGCACAGAGCTGACATGCTCTTGGTCATTAACTAGTCTGTTTCTCAGCCTTCAAAGCCATTTAGCCTATTTTGATTAACTGGAAAACAGTCAAATTCATGATGTTATTAGGGTATCCAGAATCCAGTTTCACGGTAATTAAATATTTCTGGTGACCTCATTTAATTTCTGCCTTTCTCATCAGATTATACATTCCCATGAGATGGAATCAGGGAGGGTACCATCCTTCACCTCTGTATTCCAGCAGCTAGCACAACAAGTAGTAGATAGATACAACGACAGCAACAGTTCTAACCAGTCATTGTCCTATGGGCCTTCCTGATGGCCAAAAAACTCTCTTCACTGTAATTTCAGCCCACAAATGTCTAGAACACCAAAGTGTACACAAGCGCAGATCCCTTTTGCATTGAAAAGGTAAAGAAATATTTGTAATGACCTCATCAGAGAAGGTAAAGACATGTGAAGATTCTCCACATTCATTAAGACACCTTATAACTATATTTATACTAGCCTTTTTCCCTTAGGAACCAACCCCCAAGTAACTATGGTTAGTAGAACTAGAGGCAAGGTTTTTCTAAAGTTGATTTTCTCACACGTGAACATGGCAGCCTGATGCAACTCTGAAAAAACAGGCAAAATCTGGACACCATCTATTTCATATATAGCACAGAGGGTTAGGCACCTGAGCTCTGGATTCATACTACCTGATTTGCATCCCAGCTTAGCCACTTGCTAGCTTTACAACCTTGGGCAAGGGACTTCATGTCTTCAAGTCTGAGTTTCCCCAAGTGTAAAGTGAGGATGATTTTGAGCCATCTCTAGGGTTTTTAGAAATGTACATGACATCTGAATAAATGTTACTCGTAGGTACTATTGCTAATGATAATATTAGAAGAAAAGACTAACAGATTTGCAATTATTCTTTCACATTTCCAAATAATGCCACCTTTGTGGAATGATGGGCACCAAACCAGGAAAAGCTTTAGCAAGTCTGGATAAACAAGGTAGTACAAATACAAAACTTTTATCCAATCTTTCAGGAGTTCTACTACCAAATGCCTGAATGTAATTTCAAGTTTCATTCAACTATGTGATCAAGATAATCTGTGTTTCAACATCCTGCCCGTCACCATCTCCCCCTCCCTCTCTTGCCCACCTCTAGCTACAGCCCAGCCCTGATGTCCACAGAATCGCTTGCCAACACGTCAATTTCATTACAGTGACTAGTTCATTTCTGCCACAACAAACTAACTCTGGCGTGTTGTTCCCAACTAACCTTCTTCCAAGAAAGTTAAGAGTCAAATAACATTGATGAGCCAAAAATTTTCAGCTTCTTAATAATAGGAAAAAGTTGCAAAGACATGTTCCACAGAGAGACTTTCCCTTTATCACACAACTGACCTGTACCTACAGCAAACACCTTGGTCTTGTCCCATGCCCTTCCCATCTACCTCTTAACCAATGATCTTCTGAAGCCGCTGAAGCTGATATATGTACCTATACATTGTTTTGGTGACTCTGTAATGCATTTGCTTAGTGCAGTGGGTAGAGCACAAATTGGGCAGGTTATTTAACTTCTCTGGACCTCAGTGTTCTCATAAGTAAAATGGAGATACTAACAGATTCCACCTCATAAGGCAGCTGCGAAGTAGATGAGTTTATATATATAAAACAACATATAGAGGAGTGTTTGGAACATAGTAGGTGCCACATAAGTTTGCTACCATTATTACTGTCTCTTTGCCACTGTCCCAGAGGCCAGTGGCCACACCATCTTGCTTTCAGCTCTCAGCAGGCTCCCCGCATCATGCTCTATCCATCTAAAGCAAAAATAAAGTTACTTTATTTATTTATTTTTTAAGAGAGAGAGTGTGTGAGCGGGAGGAGGGGCAAAGGGAAAGGGAGAATCTCAAGCAGACTCCCCACTGAGCAGGGAGCCTGACATGGGACTCGATCTCAGGACCCTGAGATCATGACCTGAGCCGAAACCAACAGGCAGAGGCTTAACCAACTGAGCTACCCAGGCGCCCCTAAAGATACCTTCTTATTCTGTTCTGTTGCCCTTTCTTCCTCACTGTCTCTTTTTCAAAGCAGAATTTTTGGGGAAAAAAGCATACAACTCTCGCTTGATCTACTTTCTCATCCATTCTCCTTTCAAACAATTATAATTGGCTTCTGCCCCCGGCCCCACCCCCAACCCATTGAAATCCTG